TTTCTTTAAGATGCTCCTTTAATCAATTAAATTAATTAATGATTTATTATTTCTATTTTTAGTTAATCAATTTATTATTAAATAATTATTATGCAAAAATAAATCAAATTGATGAAAGTGCAATAATGAACATGCTAATCATTGTTTTAAATAATATTTTCATATATATCCTCTATGCTTAAAATAAGAATTTTTTTTAATTCTATTTCTTGTTGTAAATTTTTAAGAAATTTACCAAGAGTTTAAGTAAAATTATCAAATCAAATTTTATAAGTTTATGACACAATTTCAACTGATACTGTGTTAGAACTGGAATTTGGAAATGAAATCTTTTGAGCTGATTTTTTTATATTAATGGCGATGTTAAAAATAATAATTTTGGAAGTTTCGTTTTTAGTATTTTAAAATTTACAACAAATAAATTAAAAGAAGAATGTATTCAGATTATCAAGTTTATTGATTGACATCTTTTAACAAAAATTCATAATTTACATTAAGTGTTAATATTGAGTATGATGATGAAATGATAAAAAGAAAAGATTAGGAGTTTATACAAATAATAATTTTTTTTTTGATAATAAAAATATTAGATAGAAATCATGTTTGAAAATGTTCGAAATGATTTCCCCATGCTAGTAAATACATTTATTCTGCATCACTATATTATTGGGGTCTTTGCATAAAAATGTTCTTAACATTTCCTTTTAAGTAAAATCTGTCTAATGATTTGGTACTAAAATATACATTTCCTTCCCAATGACTTAATGTATTTCCTGCATCATTGAATATTTGAAATTCATTTAAAGTATCATAATAATAAGGGATAGGAGTTTAGTAATGAAAATAAAGATCAAAGAGAGAAATATATTATTTTGATTTAATTAAATTTTCAATTATGACAGGCTTATGTCTAATTTTGAAATAAATATAACCATAAAATTACATAAAAATACCTGGAGGAGTATATTCTCCATTTTTTTCTATTTAATTCAAAACTTCTTCAACTGGCACAAAAATATTTTGTAAACATCTTTCTGCTTCAATAGCATGAGTGATTCTATAATTTAATTTGCATTTTCTCATGATATTTTTTGTAAACTGATCTGATTTTAAAAAGTATTTTTCATCTTCATAAAATAATTCAGGACTAACAAAATAAAATTCTAAATCTGGAAATATAGTATAATTCAATAGCATATCGAGTGAATTGCATTTAGAATCGAATCTCAACATAGTGTGATTAATGTTTGAGTACATATATTTAATATTATCTATATCTTATTAATGTCTTAATTAGGTTTATTATCGTAAGACATTAATTTATTTATTGTTAATTACTTCTTTTTGTAATTCTGGAGCCTTTCTCAACATAGTTATATAAAAGGCAATCCCACCCATTGTTATACTACAAAAAGCAATTAAAGTATAAATATTTTAAGGATTTGTTTTTGTTCCTTATTGACCTTCAAACTTCCTATTAATTTTTATATCTGAAAAATCTTGTTTACGATAGGAAGAATCTGCCTGAGAATCATATGCTGTATTTCTTGATTACTTAAATTTTTTTAGCATTTCTTAATATTAATGTCTTTTATCAGCATTTTCAGGCTTATAATATTCTTATGGGTTCTCATGAAAATAAAAGCCAAATATTTCCTTAAATAATTATTCTTCAGATTACGCAGAATAATAATATTATTTAAACTCCTCTTTCATTTACTCTTCAAATTTAGTTTTCTTCAGAATATTGTATGCCTCTGCAATTCTTTTAAATTTTTCATGAGAATCATGTTATTTATTAATATCAGGATGATCTTAAAGAATAATTATATTTCTTACATTATTTACTCAATTTAATATACGCATCTTTTATTTCCTACATTGTAGCTGAAGAATTAAGCCCTAATTCAACATAGGGATCAAATTATGTTGTAGAAAATTTAAATTGTCGGAATTTACAAAATAATCTTAACATAATTAATTCATTTTCATAATATATTATAATTACTTAAGCATCTAATTATTTTTATATATTTTGATTGTTATAATAACTAATGTTCCAGTGATTTCATTATGGAATCTAAATTAATTTCAACCTATAAATAATTTATCTAATCAACTAATAAAAAAATAATTATTAAAATCTTGATTTTAGTTGTATAAAAATAATAAATTTCTTGATTAATTTTAATAATTATTCAATAATATAAGCTCATTATCTATTAAAATATTTTACTAAGTAAAGTAAAAAATAAGATATTTTTGTGTCAATAAATAAATTTGTTGATTTAAGAAATGCTTAGACTAAAATAATTTTATTTGATGTAATATTTAAATTAAAATATGCAATTCAATTTCATATTGATTTCATTGTTTATAAAAAGATAAGATTAATATAATATTGTAATTTAAGATCATTTGAGTTTCAAAATAAAATTAAAAATTTTCAGTTTTAAAAAGAACGTAATGAAATTAAGGTTGTTCTAAAAATTTATAATTTTTTAGGTCTGATATTAATAAAAATAATAAAAACCAATTTATTAAAATAGAATTTTTAATTAAAATATAAATAATTACGTTAATTCAAAGCCTTACGTTAATTCAAAGAGTAGTTTTCCCGTTTTTGAAGAATGTTGCTTCAAATACTGTTCATAAATCTATGAAAATAAATATTATTAAATGAAGGCAATATTTGGATTATTAGCTATTATTGTGTTAACATAAGCTGGATTTGTTTAAAAATATCCATTGAACTACTCAAATAAAAGAAACATTATGTCAATAATGACAGAAGTTGAAAGCAAAATCTAAGCAAGGAATCCTCTTGACACAATTAAAGGCATTTTGAATTCATTCAAATCTGAAGTTGCATCAGAATAAGCCACTCATGATGAAGTTTATAATGCTTAAAAAGCTGAATGTGATAGTGAGATAGATTATAGATCAAAAGAAGTTTAAGATGCTAATAGCATTCTTACAAGTGCAAATGGTATTTTAAAAACAGCTAGAATTATCAAAGGCAAAACTAGTGCAACTCTTGAAGCTACTGAAGAAATTTTAAATACTGCAAATAGACATATTGAAATGATCAATTCAGCAAGAAAAGAAGATACTTAATCTTATAATAGAGCTGCTGTATCATTTAATGATGCAATCAATGCTATTGATGATTCAATTGATTTGGCTACAGCTTTAGCTAAGGGATAAGTAAATTTTGCTTAAATTGCTGAACTTTCAACTAAATTATTGAAATCAGCTTTGGCAACTAAATTATTATAAGAATTCAAATAACCAATGGCTGCTTTATCTTCTATTACCTAAGACGAAGAAGCTGGAGCTGCTGAAAGACTTGTTTAATTGCTTCAAACTTTAAGAACTGCTGTTGAAAATGCATGGACTGAATATACAACTTAAAATTAATTAGGTCTCTAATAATTTATGGGTTAAAAAGATTTGTACACTGCTACTTAATAAAGATTAGATAAAGCTAAATCAAAATTAGTTTCTAAATTAGAAGCAACTGAAGGAGTTATTTCTGTTTAAACTGCTGTTGCTTAAGCTGCTACTAATAGAAGATCAAGAAATTAAAATTTATGGGATGATGCTGCCGATTTATGTCATAGTTTTGATGTTGAATTTGAAACTGTTACTGCAGGAAGAAGATAAGAATTAATCTTAATAAATGAATTAGAAAGATTAGCTACCAGAAGAGCTGCTGAATAATAAATTTGATTTATTTTCATTGCTTTTTTTGTCATCATCAAAATTTTAATAATTTTTATAATATTTATTTATTTTCAAAAAAATATTCTATATCATTATTATAAATCATTTACTCAACAAAATATCGTTAGGATTACTTAAATATAATTCAAACTCAATACTTATCTGAACTCATTTGATTTTTTAATTGTTGTAAGCATTTCTCTTCATCATTTTTATTTATTTCTTCAAAAATAGTATCCTATAAATCAATTCTAAAATTAGGTTGTTCTATATATATTTATAATAATTCCTGTTTCAAATCTGAATTATCTTTATATTTATCAACAAAAAAGATTTTCTTAAACTTAAATAATTTTAATTATTCTTTAAGTTACTATTCATCTTATGACTAATTTTCACTAAGGTCAAAGTTTGAAATCAATAAATAAAGATCAGGCTGAAATTTTTTTAAATACTTTAAAACTTTAATAATCTTTTATTTCATTAAGTCTGTTCTTTCAAAGTTCACAACTATGATCAACCCATTTATAGTATTTTTAAATTTATTAAAAAACTATTAAAATTGTTTGATTCTGGTTTCTCTTTTTTCATATTTGGACTCTAGATCCATATCAGGAGAATCAACTAGGCAGAGTTCCCCTGAAGTTCCTATTTAAAAGGTTTCAAATTATCCAATATTTTTGCATTATAAGTAATTATATGTAAGTGTTTTGCCAACACCTGCTAATCCTATTAACATCAATTATTTTAAGGAACATACTGAATTCTTTTTGTAAGCTTAAAAAAAAAGGTATCCTAAAATTACTACTAATAGTATTATGATAAATCCGGCATAAATTTCTAATATAGACAAAGCCATTAAAATAATAGTAATTATTAGAAAAGATACTAATATTGGTCCTATAATATAAAGGTCTTCAAGTTACAATTTCATTTTAAATATATTTAACATTCTTTTATAAATTGCTTTTAACTACAGAAATACCTCTAATAGAATTAGATTGATAAAAAGTATTGTTTTTCTAAAATTTACATTATTATATATGGTTTAACTAATTAGATCATTAAATCTAAAAAGTTTAATAATAAACAAAGGGTATCAATTTAATTAAAGAATATATAATGAAGAGAGTGCATTGAATTCATATTTAAAATAAAGATATAAATTATATTAATTAATGGAGTTGTTTTTATCATCAGATTTGAATTCACAATTCTTAACTTTTTTAGCACATTATACAAGATTAGTTTAAACAGGAAGAGTAAAACTTGTATTGCTTTCAAATCAAGCATTAAAATTAAATGAAGAGGGCATAATAAAATTTCCATCAATTCCTTCTTTAGTGACAGAAGATGCTTAAATTTTAACAAATATATTCTCAATAGCATAGTAATTAAAAATAAATAATTTAGATATTTAGCTAATATTTCTTTTACAGAAAAAATACTCATTGGAACAGATAATTAAACTTTGGGATAAGTAAATAATATTATAAAATTTAAGGTTTTGTAAGTATTTGAAGCACAAAGAAAAATTTAAGGAGGAGGTTTAATTGATGTATTAAAAGTGTTAAATTTTAGGCATTTCTTCAACATTTAGAGAGTAGAGTATTTTTTGTTACTAATCATGTAACCCTAGCAGATCTATTTCTATATATTCACACTTATGATGTAGTATCTACGTGGAGTGATGAAGAAAAATCTGGAAAATATGTTCATTTTTTTAGATGGTATGAAATTTATTTAACAGTTCTTTCTTAATAGGTTTAAATAAGTTCAAGCATTACCATAAATTTCTGAAATAAACAAAACTTTAGGTAGAATCGATGTAAAGCCCGCATCTCCAATTTCATCATTAGTTGATTCTTCATCAACTAGTAAAAAAAAAAAGAATATATGAGATAGTATAAAAATTCTTATTACATATTAGAAGAATGCAATTAATATTTTATTCTATATCATGAATGTTGTCTTTAAATTGAAATTAATTAAATTCATAAGATTCATCTTCCACTTTTAATTATTATTTATATTTTTGTTTTCTCTACATTTATTTCTATAATAGCCCATCTTTTCATTTTACTTTTCTTCTAAATAAACTTAAACTTAGATTATCAAGAAAATCTATCTAAGTTCTCTGTCTATTTAATCTGCACCCTAATCCTAAGAATGAATTAAACCTCCCAATTTAAGTAATTCATTGCTTCATCAATAATTCTCTCTTTAGTCCTTTATATTTGCTATTTTTATTTCATTATTTTATTTATAATTTATGAAACTCTTTTAATTATAACTAATAAATAATTCATTTATCTTCTCCTTTAAATCTAGGACTGTGCAAAAGTAATTTCTATTTCTTACGATCAATCTCTTTAGCTAAATTTTATTATTGCATAAACAATTTTTCCTTTTCATCTTTAAATTACTATGCTTTATCTAATTTCTCTTTTAACTTTTTATTCTTAACTTCTATTATTTCCTTTAATATAGTTGCAGCTTTTTTTTTATGATCACGAATAAGTTCTTCTTTTTTTTGTTTTTCTTATTACAATTTCATTTTGGTTATTGATTGAGTTTCTGTAATAGATTTCAGATGCTCTTCTTCCTTTTATCGAATTTTTTCTTAAAATGTTTATGATTTATTATTTTGAATACTTCCATTTCTTGATTTTATCTAATAATATATTAAAAATATTTACATTTTATCTATGTCTAGCCCTTTCTTTTTCAATTTTTTCAATTTTTTCTTCTGTATCTTTCATTCTTTCAGAAATCAAATTTATCTTCTCTTCCAATAACGAAACCTTTTACTAAGCTTTTTCATTTTTTTCTGACATTATTTTTTTGTAATTTTCCTTAAAATCTTAAATAAATATTAACCATAACTCTTTTTAATTTTTCCATTTTCTCTTTTTTTTTTTATTCAATTAATTCAATTTTAGCTTATTAAGTAATTTCAATATCATCTAATTTTTTCTAATAATTTTCTATTTTGTGTAGTTTTTCTTGATAATAAGCATTTTTTTCTTCTTCATTTCTTTGCTTAACTTTTTTCAATTGTTTTCTTTTTGCCTACTTCAATTCTTTCAATAATTATTCCTTCCTGTCTTTTAATTCTTTAATCGAGTCTTCTTACTCCTTCTATAATTTATCCAACAAGATCTTCTTCATCAGAATTTCTTCTTATTAAGTATTTATTATTCCTTCAGCTATTCTTGAGTAAAATATACATTTACTTTTTCACAATTGATGGCTTAATCTTATCAGGAATTGTACTTTATTAGTTGCTTTTATTACTATGCAATTACTAAAATATTAAGTCTCTACTTATTTCCCTTTCTGTCAATTCTTTAAGTTTTTCTTTTTCTATTTTTTAAACCTAAAGTAATTTTTCTTTTTCCTTTTCTTTTCTCTTTAATTCTATCTAGATAAAAATAATTTAATAGACTCACCATTTATTTCTTCTCCTTTAGAGCTAATTCTACTTATTACTATTTTGACTTTGTTGATTCTAAAAGAGAAAATTTTCTTCTTTCTTATTCTGCTTATTATTATTCATATAATTTTAATTACTCCAATTCTCGTTCCTCTATTAGAAATTTTCATACCTGTTTCTTTCTCATCTTTGCAATCAATTTATCCTCTTAATTAGCTATATACACATTTTCATCTAACAATCACAATTATTTTAATACAATAAATCCCATCAGTTGCTTTTTTCATGATAAAAAAAAATAATAAAAATGAATAATCAAGATGATAAAATTTCTGTAAAATTATATATGGCTGACTTATGTTATAATTAATGTGTAAAATCATACATGGAAAAGATATTAACTCCATTTGAGAAAGAATGCATGATGAAATGCCTAGAAAATATTTAAGGTTTGAGAATTGAGTTTTATAATGCATTTAATAAAAAATGATAATTTATTTTAAGATTAAAGCATTTCCTTATCACTATTCCTTTAGATTAATTTCCAATCTCTTTTTTTGTTAATATTTTGCATTAACCATGAATATATTTTATAAATATTTGAAAAGAAAAAAAAGTTAATTTTCAAAGAATTTCACTTATTAAAATAAAAAATTAAAGAATATCTATATATTGATTGCAAAAAATTATTTTCTTATTGCTTCAAACATTAAAAAAATTAAATTATTTTAGACATTATAATCCGAATTCAATTTTTTAATCTTGTGATTTAAAGAAACTAAAAAAAAAAGGTTAAATTAACTATTTATGAATAAAATTTGCATAGCCATATATAGCTAGTATAATATCAAAACACACATTTTGATATGATGATAAGGGAAGCATAATTAACATTAAGGTTCAAGTTTAAAAAAACTAAAGGCCAATTCACTATTAGATTCAATCAAAGGAATTCCTTGATAATTTCCATACTCAAAATTAATATTCAAAAGAATATATTTTACATAAGTAACTGAGTGTGATAATGAAATTTATAACAGAAGAGCTGAAGTTGAATGAGCCTATAAATTCTACTGATGGTATTATATTGGATACAATAATTGCTAAGAGAGAAAGAAACACAATTATAATTTCGTAAGATGAAAACAAAATTAATAAAATCAGCTAATACTACAAAATTGAATAAGGCATTTATATAAGGAGTAAAGGCTTTAGCTTAAATTAAATAAAAAGAAGACTTTATAGATGTAGCTGAAAGACTTGTTTAATTGTTACAAACCTCCATACATTTTTTTAATAACAATCTGCACTGCTGATAATACTTAAAGTCTTAAATTTTTTCTCTTAATTTATCTTACTTCTCAAAAAAACTTAACCATTCCAAAACTTCATTTAGCAACTAAGCTAAAAGTTAAAGATTAATTAATAATTTATTATTATTTATATATAAAAATATATTTCTAAATTAGAAAAAATTACTTCCTTAATAAAAGGTTTTCTCTGAAAAATTAGAAGCAAAATTAAACAAAAAGTTATTATGAGTAATTATTAAATATCACTTATTTAAATGTGTATTTATTTTTTTCATTTAATATGTCCATCATTTCATTATACATACTCTACTTTAGGAAACTAAATAAATTTGATAATATTACTTTGAAAGAATCAAGACATGGTTAACTGGATGTGTATTATTGTGTATTTCCACTAGAAAACTGAGATCCCCTTATCTTTACAATTGTTTTACTGTTCGTTCTGAATGATCTTATTTCAAATGGAATCTTTTATTAATATATAGTCTAATCTCCTTAACAAATTTAAATCATTTCTCCCTAGTAATTACATTCAGTATAGAAGTTAACACAAGGAGTAAATATTTGTAACCGAAAATCTCTAAAACCCCATGATTCTAATTCTAATATAAATATATACCATCATCGACATCTTAATCTAAATGAGATTAAAACTTTATTACTAATTCAAACACATCATTTGGAAAAGTCATTATTTTTTCATAATATATAGTATTGTCAATATAAGATGGATGTTTACACAAATTTCTTGAGCCATCTGAATTGCCCTAACTTATTGTATAAACTAATTCGTTATTAACTGATATTTCAAAAGACTCCATATCCCAAGAATCCAATTTATAAATTGTCACTGAAAACTTTATAAATTTATGAGGTGGAAGATCAAATGTTTTCTCGACAATCTTTGTTCCTCCGAAATTGCCTATTATTAAATTTCCAGAGCAATCAAAAACTTCTCCAGGGAGAGACCAACCATGATTCTCACACTCATTTCTATTTTAGTCATTGCAAGTTTGATAAAGAATTGTGGGTTATAAAAATAGTATTTGAATAAAGGAAATTGATCCTAAGGGCATTTTTTTATTAAATTTTATTTAAATATATCTCAGTCTTCACTAATACAATTTATTTGTTTTGCTTGAAATGGTCAACATTTTTTTAAGAATCAATATGATATCTTGTATTTTGTCTTATTCAAATACATTCATTGCTAAATATTAATTAAATATTAGTAAATTTTTAAAGATATTAGCTAAATAAATATTTACTTTATTTTAAAATATATTCTTTTGTGTAATTATCTAGAACTTTATTTAAATTATTTTAAAGTCTAAATAATTTAATATTGTTTCTATATTTTTTATGTTTTTCAGTAGAGATTGTACACTATTAATTGATTAGATATCGATCGATGATTTGTTACTAATTTAGATTTAGATTACTTATACTTTATAATATTTTTTGAATGAAAATGGGTTCCAATTAATCTAAATTACTAATTGGATCCAACAATATTTATCAACTCTAAAAAATAGTTTATAATATAGATAAAGATTTGCATTTTTATTTTTTTTATTTTGAAAGAAAGGCATAAAATCATATAAAAATTGTTTCAAATTATATATAATTAAAAAGAAATCGAATATTTATAATTAATTAAATGTCTCAAACTCCTGAATAAAATCGTAATTAAGAAGTGTGGCTTCGAAATTCGCTCAACAAGAACAATAGATTAGAATTTGAAATAAAGAGCTTGCAAAATGAAGTGAGAACCAAAAATTAGTAATTATCATAACTGGAATTGGATTATAAAGGTCAAGTGAATTAAATATAACAGCAAATTCAAATTAATCAATAATTATAACTTCAAATTCAATAGATTTCATAGCTTAACCTTGATCAAAAGAGAGCAATTGAATAATTAACTGACTAAAATAATTAATTGAAAAATTAGCTGAAGCAGGTTTAGGAAACTAATAACATTGAAAAAAATTAAAGTAAATAACTTTTAGAAAGAGCTAATCAAGATATTTAGAAATTAAAGAATGAAATCATGTAATTGTAAAGAAATAATGACAGTTTGTAATAATAAAAATAATATCAAATTTCATTATTGGATACTAATTCTAAAAAAATTATAGAAGAACTTTAAGAATAAATTCGTAAAATATAATTATAATCAACAAGTAAGATAGAATAATTGGCATCTGAATTGTCTTTAAAAAATGATTAATTAGACAAATTAACTAAGGAAGTTAATATAAAAAAGAATGAGATCTATTAAAGCACTGCTAATTATGAAGCTGTAAATGCTACAAAATCACAGTAACTAATTCAAGCATAATAAATATAATAAAAACTATAATAAGATTTTAATGATAAGCTTTAATAATTCTAAATGTAAGCCTAAATGAAAATTACTTAAATGGAGTAAGAAATTATTTAAAAAAATACAATAATAGAAAAGGCTAATTAAGATCTAGCTAAAAAAGTCTAAGAAATTAAAGAAAACAATTAGCATTATGAGTAGATTAATATCCAGAATCAAAAGAAGCTATAAGAAATGATGATTCAAGTTTAGAAATTGTAATTATCTATTGAATCAGAAAACACTTAATTTGATAGAAAAAAAGATGATTTTAAAGTTTAAATTGAAAACCTATAAAAAGATTTGAGTATGTAATAATAATCTTCCAATTAATATACATAAAAATTAAATAATGAAATCAATCAACTAAAAAATCAAAATTTGGATTTGTAAAAGTAATTAAGTGAGAAACATAAAAATTATTGTCTATCATAGTCAGAATCTGATGCTTAGATTAAATAACTAAATATATAAATTGCTTCATTTTAGAAGGAAATTTAATTAAAAAATTAGTAAATTTAGTAATTTGAAAGTTAATTATTAGAAACAAAGGTTTTAAAAAATTAAGAAATAGAATAGTTAAAATTAAAGTTTGATTAGAGAGAGAAAGAACTATTGATGTAGAATGATTAAGTAACTAATAATAGTAAAATTTAATCGTAAAGAGTAGTAACATTATCAAGTGAAGAATTAAGCCGATAAGTTAAATAAGTGGATTAATTTTGGTCTGAAAAATATAATAATTTGTCAAATAAAATGAAAGATGATATTTAGCAATTATCTTAATAATACTAAATGTAATTGGATTAGATGGAATAAGCTAACAAAAATAAAATAAAGATTATAGAATAAAATCATGAAAAATAATTAAGTTCTTAAAAAGAAATGTTTAATTAATAAATGAAACTACAAAATAAATAAATTTTAGATTTACAAAAAGATAAAGAGAATTCTTAAATTGAATTAGATGTTATGAAAGTGAAGTTAAATGAACTTTAAGATAAAGCCCATAACTTCAGCAATAGAGATTAAAGAAAAGATGAATTAATTTAAAGTTAAATGGCAACACTTAAAAATAGCAAAGAAGGTATTTATTATTATTATTATTAGAGTTATTAAATGTAATTAACTAATAAAATTTAGCTCATAAAAAAGAGATTTTTACTTTGTAAACAAAAATAGAAAATTTATAACATTAATATGAAAATTCAGTCAGAGAAGTAAAGGAAATAAAAGAGAAATTAAGACAATCTCAATTGGAAGCATAATAAGTTTAAAATTTAAGTCATTAAAAAAGCAAGGAAATTTTAAATGCTCATGCTGAGAAGGAATCTGAGATAATAAAATTATAGTCTGAATTATAGAGAATGGAAAGTTTATATAAGTAAGTAGTATTAGAATTAAAAATTATTAATGAATAGAAGAATGATCTTTAAATTATTGATGATTTTTAATTAAAAGAGAAAGATGTAGAAATTGTAAATTAGAAAAGTTAGATTTTGGAATTAAAATAGAAATTATCTTTATTATAAAAAAGACTTAATGAATTTGAATTGTAACTATCAAATGCTAATAAAAAGTTAACATAAAAAGATTAAGAAGCTAAAAAAGAAATTGAAATGCTAAACTAGAGAATTTTAATTCAAAAAAGATAAATTTAAGAAGAAAGAGAAAGATGTGAAGAATTAGCAGAAGCTTAAGAAATAGAAGTATAGACTTGGAATGAAAGATTGAAGGAATAATAAAAATTGAATGAAGATTTAATTGCTTAATTAATGAAATTATAATAGTAAACATCCTAAAATTCAAGTTTGATGAATGAGTTGTATAATTTGAAATAATAATTTGAAATAGTTACTAACTAATATAAGTAATTATAAGAGGATGCAGAAGAAGCAACCAAATAAAAAAGCATGATAAAAAATGTTTAAATATCAACCTTATAAAATCATTATAACAAATAGATGGATGTTTTAACTAAATAATTAGAAGAAATGAAGTAATAAAATTTAAATTAGAAACTAGATTTTCCGATCATGGACTTTAATGTTCAAATTATAGCATTAAATGATTTATTAGTCAAAAAGAATGCTGAAATTAATTAATTAAAGTCATAGGCACAATTTAAACTATTAGAAAAGGATAATGTAATTGATTAACAAAGAGAATATACTTAAAAATTGTAAAATGAATTGGAAATATTGAAATAATAATTAATGGATTAACAAGAATTTTAAGAAAGAGCAGATAATCTATAAATGATTAATGAGGAAAAAGACAATACAATACTATATTTGAAAGAAGAAATAGCTAAACTAAAATAAGAAAATAAATTAATTAAAGGAAAGTTGGACCTAAAAGAGTAATCAATGGTGGTAATATAAGATTAACAGCAGTTGATTAAATAATTAAAGATAGAATTGTAAGATAAGTAAAAGAATGTTCAACCAAAATAAGTTGCAATATCTCATTTATAAACAATGAAAAGTTCAATTCATAGAATGAGTAAAAGATCAGAATCAAGTAGATAAGAAAAATCTGAAGTTGATTGGAATGGAGAATCCTAGTTTTTATTAGGAAATGCAAATCACTAATTACCATGTTTCAATTAATAATCTTAAGATTCATTTAATGATAACAAACTTATTGAGAGAATGAATTCAGAAATTGTTGATACTAATATGAAATTAAGAAATTAAGTTGATTTACTCAATTAAGATAAATAGAATCTATAAAAGGATTTAACAAAGACAACTTAGACTTTGAATTAAGCAAAAAATGAAAATAGTGAATTGATTCTTAAAATTTAATACATTTAAAAGGCTTTGGAATCTTCGTAGCAAAAGTATGAATTATTGGAGAGAGAAACAAATTAAAAAAAGAAATAAGAAATGAGCATAGTTTCATTTGATGATTAAATGAATTCCAAAGTAAAGACTTTAAATACATAGTTGGAAAATTTATAATAATCTAAAACTTAATAAACTTAATTAATAACTCATTTGTAGTAGGAATAATCTGAATTATACAAATAGATTGATAGAATCAACGATTAAAATAAAGAATTAAGAAAAAATATTACTATAATAAATGAATTAAATAAAAGTTAAGAATAGCAAATACTTGAATTGTAAATGAAATTAAAATAAGAATAAATAGTAATGGTTAAGTAAAATTCAGAAGTTCGAGTATTTTAAATGAAATAGGATTAGACTTCTTAAATTGTATCTTTTGAAAATTAATAATTAAAATAATAGAATTAAGAGTTGTAGAATAAATTATTAGAATAAAATTAAATAATATCTGAGTATGAAAATTAAAAACAAAAATAAATTGAAATTTAAAAGAGGTACGAGGAATAATAAAAATAATTGAATTTTTATCTAGAAAAAATTGACAATTTAGAAAATGAAAAGAGATAGTAAGAATAAGAATAAAATAAGATAATAATGGATAGTAATAAACTATTAGTGAAAAATGAAGATTATGCTATAAAAGTCAATCAATTAGAAAAGACTTATTAATAATTAAAGTAAGAATTAAAAGAACAATAAGTTTAACATGAAAAGTAATAAGTATTTTTAGAAAGAGAAAAATAATAATTACAATCTCAAGTGAAATTGTTAAATATTTCTTTGTAAAATTTGTAGAGATTAAGTAAATCATAGGGTTCTGAGGATGAAACTAAAATTAATCAATCAGTTATGGATAAATAAATAAATGAATTAAATTCTAAATTACAAGAAAAAATTATTCAAAATAAAAGTCTTTAGTAATAAACAGAGTAATAAAATGTAGAGATTAGAAGTTTAAATTAACAAATATAATCTTTATAATAGATGTATTTACCTGTTTAAAATTAGATGGAGGAATTATAAGTTTTAATATAATAACAATAAAAATAAATTGAAAAATAAGCACAATAATAAACGACGTTTTCTTCAATATAGAAAATTAGTGATTAGGAGAAAGAAATATAGGAGAAATAAAAAATAATAGAAGAAATAAATTATAAAAAGAATTCATTAGAATAGTAATAATAGAATAACGTTAGAGATATGAATGATCTTCGATAAAAGATTACATAATACCAATTAATTAATGAACAATTAAATGAATAGATCGATTAATTAATAAATGATTAAGAATAAATTAAATTAGAACATGAATAAAAGATGATAGATTATTAAAATAGTGTAAGGAGATAGATATAAACATTTCATAATAATTCTGTTGATCTTTTAGATTAAGTTGATTAATTGAATAAATAAAATTAAGAGAGTAAACAATAAATAATAAGATTAAGCTAATAATTAAGAGAACGAGAATTTGAGATTTAAAGATAATAAAAAGATTTTTTATAATAATAAAATAATTAATAAGAGTTATAACTTTCATTAGCGAATGAAAATGAATAACTTAAAAATTAGTTACATTATTTAGAGATTGAGTTATAGAATGTAAAATTTAAAGATAATCAATCAGTTACAAATTTAACAGCTTCTTAAGAATTGAAATTCAAGAATTTATATGAAGCTTTATAAGAAAAAGAAAACAAAACTAATTAAATGAACAAAGAATTGTAACATTAATTAGTATTGTATGATAAATAAGCAAAAACATTGTAAAATAGAATCACTCATTTGGAAGATGAAATTAAATAATATTAAGAAAAGGAATCAATAAATTATGAATCAGCTGTTACTTTCCATTAACCAGAGGATATTTAATAATTGCATGAATAAAATATAAAGTTGACAAGTTAGGTTTAAATGTTTTCATCATAACATTTTCAATTAGAAAAACAAATAAATGAATATGATGAAAAAATTAAATACCTATAATATAAGTAAGAAACTTAAATTAAATAATTAACAGAAGAACATAAATAAAAACAATAAAAGATCAATGAATAATTATAAACATAATAAAAGGAGGTAAAAGACTTAATAAAAAAGAATGATTAATTAATTTTAAAATATTAAGATTAAATCTTGTAAAATGAAAAGCTTTAAAAGCAAAATTAATAATTATCATAATAAATATTCAATCAATAAAAAGATATTAATGTTTATAATTAATAAGCTCTTGAAAAGGTAGAATCTGCGAATCTCTTAAATTAATAATTACTAAAATAAATTAGTTAATTGAATAATCTCAGATAGTAAGATTAAGATGAGATTAGAAAATTATCATCATAAATAAAAGAATTGCAAGATTAATAAGCCAAATATTTAATTCAAATCAGATAATTATAAGATTCTTAAAATGCAAAATAAGAAAATTTAAATTCAGAAAAAAATGAAATTGTTAATTTAAAGAAAACCATAGATTAATTAATGATTGAAAATAAGAGATTAAAAGTTGATGAGAATAATGCTATAAATGATTAAACAAATTAATTTAGATTATAAATTAGATAGTTATCTTAATAAAATGAAACGTAAAAGTAGGAAATAATTATTTTGAAATAATAAATTACCTCAGAATAAATTAATAATTAAGAAGAAATATAAAATTATCGAAAACAAATTGAAAAGATATAAAATCAATTCAAATCATAAAAAAATGAAACAAATTTATCATAGTTTTAGAATCAAATAAAAGATTTGGAAGAACAAAATCGAAATTTATAAAGATAAATAAGCTTATTATAAAATGATGATTATAAATAAAAACAAAAATAAAAGAAACGAGCTCTTAAGTAAAAAATTATAGATTTACAGCAAGAATTATCAAATTCTTAAAGAGATTTTAGTAGAAGTGAAAAAGATAAATCAAATACTTTGGTTAAATTTTATGATAAGGAAATAGAGGAGAAATAAAGATTAATTAATTCATTAGAGGAATAATTTAAGATTTTATAAAAAGGATATGAAGATTAAGATTAAGAGATTAAATAATTAGAAGAAGAAAATAGTAAATTAAAATATTAGTCAGATAATTACTAAAATGAATTAGCAATTTTGAGAATAAATTAGAATCTATCATTAAATCCTAATATTACAATAAATAATTTAAATATTCAATAAGAAAATAAAATTCTTGAATTAAAAATTTAAAAATTAACTACATAATTAGATGAATTAAATTTAAAGCTTTAAGATTCTGAAAATGATTTAGCTGATATGATAGAAAACTTTAAATAAGAATAATCGGTAAAAATTTTAATTATTTTGATAGAAAAATAAAGTATTAGAGTAGAGTCTTAGAAATAGTAAATTACCATAGAGAGACATAGAAAATTAATATAAATAAATGATATTGAAAGAGTTTCCAAATTATGTATGATATTAATTCTACTATTGTAAGGCTGATAAAACTTTAGAGTAAATGATTAATTAATTAGTAATCAATGGAATTCCAAATAGATAATCTTAAAGAAATCAATAATTTATTGAACTTTAATAATAAAATTAAGAAATGTTAGAAGAGATTCAAATCTTAGTAGAGAAAATAAAATCATAGGAATTAGAGTATAATGAGCTTTAAGAACAACTTCAATAAACAACTAATTAAAATTCAGTTCGCAGTTTAAATCATAATCGTGGAATGAGCAATGATTTTGAGAAGGATAAAAAAATTATAGAATTGGAAAACAAATTAGTACTTTTGGCAAGTGAAAATTCTAGATTAAATCATATAAAAGTATAATTTATTGATAATAATCTTATAGAATCAATAGCAAAAGCAATTACAATCATAGCAACTTACTTAATAAGATTTACAAAATTATTGAAATATATAAATAAAATAATATAATTTGATATCTAAATCGAATATTATGTTAAACTTCATAGAGGCCTATAAAATATCTAGAAAGATAAGGATCTTTAAATATCATTATCAATATATAAAAGAATGAGATTAATTATAAAGCTAATCAAATTAAGCAAAAAATAGATTAAAGATCTTAGACAGAGATACCCCACCAAAATAGAAAATATTGATAATATCCAATACTTATTAGTTTGTTCTTTAACATCAAGTTAAAAAGAAATCAATTGAATTAATTATCTTAAGATGATGATGAAAAAAGAAAATTGAAAATATAAGATCTACAATAAGCATTTAAATTGCTATTATAAAAACATATAGATTTAGATAGAGAAATTTCAAAACAAATCTATAATCCAAAAGAGAATCTTCCTAATCTGATTTTAGTTTCAGCTAATCTAGCCATCAAATAATTATAAAAAATAATTTATGACTGGTAAAATCAATTAAAGAAACAAAATAATTTATAAATTGATAAAAACAATTAAGATATTTTAAATTTATAAGACAGATCAGCTAAATATCAGATAATTAAATTTAAATAAATTTGTGTAACAAAAAAATTTGATTCTCTTAAAAATTTTATTAATATATAATCTTTGATCTAAAATAAGAACAATCATAAAATAATTTGAAACTTTTAAAAAGAAAGCCAAGCTCTTTCATATAATTTAATCAATAAACAATTAGTTCACAAGGTTACTGAGTAAATATTAAGGTAGGCTCAAGAATAAATAAATTATCTAAAAATTATTATTAATTGAAGTTAAAATATAATAATGATATTAATAATTTAAAGAAGAATAGAAATTAATTTAATGATAAGCAGTAAGCTTATATAAAAATTTAAAAGTTATAAATTATTAAACGAAGGAAATTATTAGTAAGGTTTGAAAAATAGATTATTTAAATGAATTTATAATTTTAGAAAATATAAAAGGTGAATTAATCATTATAAGATTAATTTAAAAAAAGAATAAATTTAATATAATATGGAATAAAAATTAAATTAAATATAAATTAAAAATATTCTTAAAAGAACTTAATAATAATTACCAGAATAGTATAAGTAATTATCAAAAAATAAAAATGTTTAATTTTATTTGATCAAATGATTAAAAGACGCAATTTAATTTATTACATAATTCGATAAATTAAGAAAATCTATAACTTATGTATGAACCTAATTCAAAAGCAGATAAAATAAGATTATTAGGAAATTAAGTTCAGAATGTAAGTATTAAAAATATTAATAATTAAATTCTAATACCTAGACTATAGACTATAAACATCAAATTATTAATGAAATATTATAATTAATGAATAAGAAGTAAAAATAAGATAGTTGATTATATAAAAATAGGATTCAATAAGATAATATTTTATATTCTTTAAATTTTAGCTTGTTCCTTTTCCAACTCTATGAAATATAATCGAATCAGTAACTGCAAAATTAAAAAATATATTTAACTATTATATAATAAAAAAAATTCTTTCAGGTACTAATATTATTGTAATAGAGAATTCCACTCATGTATAATATTTGATATAGTCATTGAAAAG